CGATGACTACCCCGGCTTGGGGCACTCAAAGAAATTGGCTGGTGGTTTCCTGACCCCGGTCGGCCGGACCTTAACGGATAGTTGGAAACTCCGGGAGCAGGTGGCTTTCGAATCGTTCTCCGAATCAGACCGCTTCAACAACCCCTTCCCTCCGCCGCCCGACTGCTTCAGGTTCCCTGGTTCTCTATCCTCTGACTTTCAGTGTCGGCGCGGTAGGGTGCGGGTCAGACGAAAGAACGGTTCGCCGGTCATTCTTTTCGCATTGCATCCGACAAAGAAGTTACTGGCTGCTGAGAGTTTCTTTAAATCCCGAATACTTTTCTCGCCTTTCCCCGTGTAGATGGCCCGCGCTCCACCCTTGATCGTCTGTCGCCAGTCTCTGAACACGCCGCCATCTCCAACCCCTGGCCATCTCCCTCCTCGCGCCGCTACCCCGTCCACAGCCGGCAAGACTCAGGTCCCATAGCTGATCCCTCTCGCGTTGACTCCAAGTTTTTTCTTGTAAACACGATTCGACGACGACGAAGACTACGACTACGACTACGGTGTTATCGGGAGGATAACCGTGGCGTGCTTTTATCGCGACTCGTTTTTCTCGCCGGTAGTTCGGGAACTAGGAGCTCGGGATTCTCCGGTATCACCTAAGATCGTTTGCCGAGATATTAACACGGGAGATGGTGGATCCAGTAGGACAATTCCCCACCTCGAACGGTTCTGCTGATGTCGGACTGTGGGGGACCCCTCGGAATTTGACGATTGCTTTTTCCACGACGCGATGCGACGCTGCGGGAGGGTTTTGTTCGCGCGATTGTACGCTGAATGGGACGCCGGAATTTCGGGTATCTAAGTATCTTTGTTATTTATGGTGTAAGAATTGAGTCCTCCTTGATTTGCGACGCTCGGTCGCGAACTGGGGGCGTTTTATTTCAGATAAAATGGTATGTCGGCGGGAATAACTGTTCTACTTATATGCTACTTGAAATAGAGCTTCGGTGTGTTGATCGTTATAGAAGAATAAACGTTTATTTTCGTATCATGTAAAAATAGAGTTACGCTTTTGTAATTATAAAGGCCATGAAAATATAGTAGAGAGAGAAATCTGTTTGTAATGCTTAAAAGTAGTTTAACTTTACTTTAAATTGATTCTTTTATCAGGATATCAATAATTTAGAATTCATAATGGATGAAAGAAATATTATGATTTTATGTTTATGTTAATAGAATAGATGATGAGGATACTATGTTCTATTTCTGAAACTGTTCAGCAACAGCTGTCACGGGAATTGATGATTGTATTACGGAAGAACGACGTTCCTACGTGAAAAAACTACGCCTAGAATATGTAATAAAATTCCTCCTAATTGGCTTTGTTTTCGAGAAAATTTAGTTTAAACTTTATACGAATACAAGCGCGCTGTAAAACAGTGGAGAACGCTCGAGAACTGGAGTGGCGTAAGGGGAACGCGATTCGCCATTCGCAATTGAATTCTTCAGTGCTCTCGTAACTGCGCCAAATTTAAACTCGATTCTGCCATCGCGATGCTCCTCATACACACTGCTCCGACAGGAATATCTTAATGTCGTTAAGGAAAAAAAACTACTCACCATTAAATATTTAACAGCCCTTTTAATCGGCACATATGGAAACAAGAAAAATGTCCGACTCGTTTCTCGCGTGTATACTCTTCTCCAAGTTCAGCAACACGGAAACCATCGGGCAGAATGTTATCGTCTAAAATTAACACAGGTAAAATCAATAGTTGCGACGCAGTTACAAAACCGGCTCGCTGCCGCTTCGGATTCTGCACAACTTTTAAATATGTTCATAAACTGTTCGGTGCATCAAGCGGTGATTAAATTCGGCTTTCGTTCCGCGCGTGTTACGAAATTAAGCGAAAAAGCTTGCGCGTGTATCGAAATTCATGCAGAAGAAAGCCGGATAGGTGGAAATTGCGGGGCGCACGCAATCATAACTTGAAATAGCGCGTTCAGCAACGGTAGGTACCAGAGCGCCCAACCGTAGCATTAAATTCTCCCAAAAAACGGGACACCGATAGAGGGAAGTGAAATTGTAGCGAACCTGTTTGTACCGCCGCCCGAAATTCGGAAAATTTAGAAAAATAACGGCGCATCATACGCGCGTGCATGTATTGTTAACCCGGAACGGAGGTTCACGCATGCATTGTTCAGCATACGGCTGCGATTTATGATCATCAGAATACAATACATTTGGCGGGCATAAATATTTATAAGTTAAATATATTCTATGTTTTGTTCGCTCAAACTGTTGAACCGTGTTAAAAGTATTGAATCACAGCGTTGAAATTAAAAAGTTACATTGTGTACTATTGGGAACTGGATATCTCCTATTTCTGATATATCATCGGTTCGAAATATTTCGAATAATACCCGATTTTCTAGCATCAATTCCATCGATTTTATTTTTCTTACAATCGATCAATGATTCCTAGCATTTTCAAAAATTCAACACATTTCATTCTAACCCAAATAGTGTCTTTTTCGTGTACACGAAAATGTATGAAACGTGCAAGTCAGCAACTGCAAGAACGAAGAAATTCATCGGGAGATAAGTACGCATTTTTCGGAAAATCTGGGTCAAAATTATACTCTTCGCCTTCGCGAATTAAGGTTACGAACTTCTCATGATATCCTGAATAATATTACTGCATTCCGTGGCAACGCAGCTAGCAAATATAACCCTGGTTAACTCCAAAATTCATGGTTTCCTTCACGGAGCGTAGTCACCGAGTCCGCCGCCGCTAGTTCTTCAGCGAGGACAATAGACCCTGATCAATCTACTCCGGCAAACACCATACATTATTTCCAACGTCACTTAAGCAGAAACCGCCGTATTCGGTTACACCACCCTGCGCGATACAGGTTCAATAAACTGGTAACTAGCTTGCGGATCTCGGTGAATTTATAGCTTACGAAAATCTTCGCGCTCTGTGAACACGATTATCTAAAACGACGCATCTCGCTCGAATACCTAATTCGAATTTTTAAATTTCAATTTTAATGCACATAATTCACGTATACTGTGATTAAAATGATTTAAACTAAAGAATACAATCTAGAACACTCTTATAATGACCTACATTATTTACAGGTATAAATTAATGTAAGTAGAAACACGTGTATACGGTCAGTAAGGTGTTTAAAGTAAAAGGATTCTAATTGACGTATCTTTATTTAGAGAAATGTTTAACAGAGACTGCAATTCATTTTAATCGCTGTTTACCGAAATGTTCAAACAAAGGTATTCGTCTGCGTAAGTATTCAAAAGTAAATAAAGCGACGAGTTGAGTCTAGCGAGGAGATCGGCTTATTTTCGTAAATAAAATAGGAATATAAACGGTGTTGCGTGTGGAACACGAAATAACATGTAGTTTCATCTGCAATAATTAATCATCATTTGTCGCTTCTCTTTAGTTGCCGACGGCTCTTTTCTCTTCGGGCCAAACTTTACGTGACTCGAGGTTGTACCGGATGCGCTGGACACGCGTGCAGCGGCCTATTACGTGAAAGCATGTTGCACGTGGAAAGAATAGGTGGAACCAGTCTACGGCTCTCAAAGAATTGCGGAATTTATTGTGAATTATTCCAGACAGCATTATCGCTCTCCAGATATTGCTTTGTACTTTATGATCCGCAGAGTTATATCGTGGTATTGGATATATTCCGATAGTGTCGTTTTCATTATCAATTACTTCGGAAACAATTATTTCGGAATTAGCTACGAACACAGGTGAAAATATTCCCTAAACGTTGTATCGATGTTAGTACACTTATTTCTATAAAATATTACTAATATTATTTCTTAACAAGTAAATTCAATAGAATAACGGTTATTATTATATTTTAATGAAATCGGTATATTAATTAATACATCAAACTTGGTTAATTTGTCGATGAATATTAAAAAATACATTTTAATATCAAACATTCCAACCGTGTTTTTCTCCCGGGAAAAGGGGGTAACATAAATAAAACATATATACCTCGTTTCCGCGGAGCTTTGTTTAAAAAAAAAAGTCATTTGTTGCGCTCCCGCTTATCTCCAAGAAAGCGTGTAAGTAATCCGGACGTAACGACGCGGCCATACCGCGGCATACAAATTTGAGAAAAACGTTCCGCGGTCGCGGTGGAGGGGGTAATTGTCACAATTTTGCGTTTGTTACTGCTCGAACTTTTTTTTCTCTGTTCGCGACGGCGACGAAAGTTCGCCGCGACCTTAACAATACAGTATTTACGACACAGTAGAGCGTTCAGAATTCCATGGACGCGGCACGGAACGTTATATTCTAATGAATGCGACTGCAAGGAATCAAGAAACCATGAACTGTTGATTTGTGTTGCGCACGGCTGTCGAGGCGGAGTGGGGGGAAACAGAAAGAGCTCCGAACTAGTCCGCGAAAATGAACCTCGGAATTCTAATTCCTGAGCACATTACAGCGTTTGGTCCGCGTCGAGTGGAAAAAAGAATGTTTGTTTTGAGACGTCATTTCGAAGAAGTGGTTTTTCGACGGTCGTTTAAATATGCCGCGTCATTATGATGGTCGTGCGCCGAATGATGCATTTCACGTGCAAACACACGTTATGCTTTTCTATATCGCTCTCCTGCTGGAATAATCGCAACTACGAGTTTTGTGTTTCTCTGGAGAAGCGAGGAACTTGAGCCTCGATTTGTACAAATTTTATTCATTAGTGACATTTTGTTCATTTCTAGCATTTAGTCCAGAGAAATGTTTAAGAAAGTTTAATAAGATTATTATCTTCTTTAGAATATGATTGAAACTGTAATTGGACAAAGAAGTTTACTTTTGTTTCTACTTCCAATGAGTTGTATAAAGATCCGCAGAATAGATACGCGTTGATATAATATAAACCCAATGATAGTCTCTGCTATGGAACACTGTTAAATCTATTCCATTATCGCTGACGCTATTTATTGTATCAAAACTGTAACGTCAGCCGATCGAATGTCAGTCACTTTACAGAACAATAGCATTGTCTTCGACCATCGCATCAATGATTCACGTGCACCGATGGTTGCCGGTTTGATAGATACATGAAAAATTGTTTCATAAACATTTTTAATCAAACACATCGTAAACATATTCCACAGAAACTGATTCACATACTCGATGAATAACGTACGAATAAACATAAGTATTACATAATCAAAGCAAAAAATAAAATGAAATTAATCTTTAATGTGTTCTTCAGTTTCTGGTTTTGTAAGAATTAATAATAAGAATTCATTGGATCAGATACTCTATGACACAATTGATTCAATAATTCTTGAGACAGCAATGTTAAAAGTTTATTTCGGAACACAAGTCTTAATTTTCAATAACTAGAATCCAAAGTTTGCATAACGTATATTTTGAATAAAAGAGATATCGTAATAATATTACTATATTCTGTAGAATGATTCTCTTATTTCATTTTTTAATTCTGAAACTGTAGAAGACATTCTTTTGAATAAAAAGGATATCGTAAATAATATTTCTATATTCTGTACAATAATTCTCTTATTTTATTTTTTAACCCTAAAACTGTAGAAGATATTCTTTTGAATAAAAAGGATATCATAAATAATATTTCTATATTCTATACAATAATCCTCTTATTTTATTTTTTAATCATAAAGCTATAGAAGTCTTTTCTTTTTCGAGTTGGAGGGGTTAAATCGGCCCTATCGCACTCGCATTTTCTTTCTAAATAGGAGATCATTAGCAACCTACGGGTCGAGCGTTCTCATTTTCGCGTGCTTATCGAGAGCGTACCTCGGATGGAAGTGAATACATACGTTAGACTTCCCCAGATTTCAGCAGTAAATCTGAGTTTGCGGAGGATCCAGCGGACTCAGGGCTCTCACGGAATTTATGTGCAGTCGTTTTCTTCTTGGCACGGTTTTACAAGTAGATGCGCTGTTGCGTCGTTCCCGCGCAGGTTAGAACCCCCAGCAGCGGTCTTTGTAATGCATAGTAATCGATAGATGCCTCCTATCTGCACCTGTTTCCGGGATAATTTTACCAGAGGACCACTTGTTTGCCCGATTTAGTGTCACTCCGGCCACGTGCCATCGATAACGAACCACGACGCGAATCTTCTTTACCGGGCAATTAACAACTCCGCTGCGGACGGTTTACGATCTTTGTTCGGTCGTGTAATTGCCAACCGTAATTTCCACAATGTTTCAGTTTGAAAAATTCATAATTGGTGAACTTTTAATAGCATAAAATAAATAATAGAGAATTATATAGAATAACCCCGTGACACAATAAGCTTCAAACGTCCTCGTAATTTTGGGGATTTGCAAATTTATTTCGGAAAACTCGCGTCAAGCGGATACTTATTTCCTTTAGACATGATTTTAAAGCATTTAAAGCAATATACAAATTGTACAAAGTTTCCCAGTTCATGCGTGAAGTGTATTTTCTGGAGAATAAAATGTCCGACATGGAAATTGGTGAATAAATTATAAATTTTGAGGAAATAATTTCATGTTCGTTGTGCATTATGTTAAATTTTAGCAACCTTTACAAACTTGTTTGTAAAGTTCCAGGTTTCTGTAAGGGAATATTGAAAAGGTTAGCATTATTTGCATTAAACGTGTTGTAATTTTCTATGCAGTATGTTGAAGTCTAATGAACATCATTGTGCAATATGTTTTCAGATACTTGTGACCCCGCCGCAAGCTTAGCACGTCTTTGGTTTAAGAGAACGGAGTTGTGAGACCGTTTTGTCAGCCTCCACTCGAGGCAGAGAACGTGAGATCGTTATTTCATTATGGTTAATTTGAGACTGAGTGCGCTCACGGTTGGCTAACGAGATAGTGGAAGGATTCTCATAATTAGAGGAGAGATTAACGAGCGCCACAATGCACTATGTCACGGCGAATAATGTTTATTTATGTTTACTTTCGCATTTTGTCGAAGGTGTTTCGCTGAGGCTTGTTTGCCTTCAACAAAACAAGAAATCAACAGTGTTCGCAGTGATCCAAGCTACCTGTATATACAAGAAATGAATTTAACCAGAGCGTGAAGGTTCCTCAAAATCTGTACATGGTTAAATAAAACGGTTTGACTTGATGCGTGAAAAGGAAGTTCGAAAAGAGAACAAAAATTTCGTTCGTTTCAATGTAACTTTAAAAATGAAACAAGACAAAAATGTCTTCTAACAGTTAGAAACTAATACGTATAAATTTTTCTATACATCTATTTAATATCTGGACGTTTCATACCGTATTAGCTTAATAAGTGGCTCTATCGTACATCTTAATATAAGTGCTTTTCTTGGGTATCTAGAACATCTCCGTAATGCTCCCTACAAATCACACGTGAGGGAAAGATTCCACGACTACCTAGGCAGCGGTAAATATTCAAACTTCCAGCTGCGCGGTGGATGTTCAAAAATTGTTTGGAGAAACCGCAAGATTACGTTATCCTGTAGGCAGTTTCAAATCATTCTGACGTTAAAGTACGAGATAATTGTTTGCACAACAATCCCAAAATAACACGCGACAGAAATCATGGAACTAAGAATCACCAATAAAATAAACTACACTTTCAACGAGACTAATGAAAATCTTACATCGATTAATTGATGATTTCATTGATAATTAAAGTCTTACATTGATTAATAGAACTCGCGAAATTCGTATAATTTCAGTTCAGCTTCGAAGTTCAATATTTCTAAAACAACGTCTAAACGAAGCATCCGCGCGACCATTGTTCACGCGAAACGTTCGTACGGCTCCACAACAGCGAGCATGATCTATTAGAACAAATTGGAACGCGCCGAGAAAATTTATTTTCCGAAAAAGAATCGGCCCCTCGTTATTTCGGTCGCGTCGAGCCGTACACATACTAAACACGCAGTTATAATATTGCATGCTCCACACCGCGCCGTAATGGCGGCGCGTGTACGATAATAACGGCCGAAGAATAAAAGAATCCCCCGTGATGGACGTCGCCGAATTTTTCATAAAAAGCACGCGCCGAGCGTGACGCCGCGGTTGATTTACGATCCCCTATCCTGTAACGCGAACAATTTTTCTCACGTGATGGGCTTCATAAGCAAATGAAGCGTTATTAACTTCTTATGAAGCCGCCGGGTCCCTGTGAACAATGCCTTCGGAATTACGTACAGCCGTGGAAGGAAGGTAGAGGTTACTGGTTGTCGGGGCTATCGATCCACCGTAATTCCGTTGCCCTTTGCGCACCTTCAGGTAAGTAGGTAACTAGAGTTTCAAACTGCGAAATAACAGAACGCCCGTGACACGCCACGATTGGCTCGCCCATGCAAAGCGCCGCCGCCAGACGAACACTAAAAAACCTCGATGACACCTAACCCCTTTAGTCGCAGCTGGAGGTGCACGAGGACACGCCGAAAATATCGAGGACTCCATGATCGAGTCGGGTTCCTGAAGAATAGAATTTAACACCTTGCCATGTAATTTATTTCTGAACTGTGATCGATTGGATGATTAGTCATTGATAATTTATCGAGAAAACAGAAGAATTTTAGGCTTGTTCTACTAGTATAATTACTGATAATAGAAGAATGACATTTAATTTAAATTCCGAAGAGTTGAGTAATATTTATTCTTGTTGGATTATCTTTAACACTATTTCTACCGAAGATGTTGAGAGACACCTTTTGAAATTTTAACTTAAAATTATTTTATCCGTTTAATCATTTTTACTGAATTAAATTTTGTACAGTTCCAATAGTTAATTTTGTAGTTGTTATTGGAAAGGCCGCAAAGTCAATTCAGAATATACGACTAAACTTAGGAAATAATTTTAAGTTGAAAATTCAAAAGTCTTTTGACACCTTCGGTAGACATGGTGTTAAAATCTGATATAGTGATTTGAAAAACACTAACATAACTATAGTGTTAAACTAAAATATCTTTTAAGAGGTATCGTTTGATAGTAAATGGTAACTACTTTGTACTCGCTATAACGCAAAAAATTTCCAGTTACATTAACGAAATCAAACTGTCAAAAGAATGTCATAAATGCATTAGCGATAACAATATTATTATCGTTACTTGCATCAATCTATTCCGGAATAAATTTTTAGAATACCTTTCAGCTTCTCTTAAGATATTCTCCAATAACTGCTATCCTAACGACTTCTTGCCGTTCTCAAACGGAAGGAAAAGTTAAAACATTATTGAATGTACAAACGACTAAGTTGCCGAGTTCGGGTAGTTACTACATTTCGTAACGTTCTGCGCTTTGTCTAACGTAGAACGCTAACGAACATATTTTACAAGTTAAAGCGGAATCACTGGAGCATTTAAGAAAATACTGAGTATTAAGATATTCGAAGCAGATTACGCAGTTTCAGAACAGTAGTTTCTTGAGTTAAAAGCAATAGAAAGGAACAGTTATTCGCAAATCTTATTTGCCTCGACTTCAACTGTTACAATCGCTACGCTACGTATCACAAGTTTGAAGAATACAAAGAGGAGACAACTTTCGATTGTATTTTTCCGATCGTTGATATCTTCTTCCCGCGTGGGCTTACAATACTCATCTTATCGAAGTTGCCGAGAAAATTAGCTACACGCCCGATGACAGGGATAAGCTCAGCGTCCATACGTTAGCCCGGGTGTCGAATCCTATGATTGGACGAATTTTTCTATGGAGGAATAGGGTTACAAACCCAACGCCAATATTGGTTTGGAGGATTGGCTGATCAAGTCGTGTTCCCGTGCGGGATCTTCTTTGTCCCACGTGGCTTTTATATTGAATCGCCGGTACTCTTCGCGAATCCAACAAATTCTTCGGCAAATTGGATTAGACAGCATCTGTCGGGAAATATGTGCTCCACTTCTAACGTCGGTTTCGCCATCTTAAAACATTTATGTAAATATAAATATAAATACATAAACCTTCCCCGCAGTTACAGGTTTATTTAAAACAAACACTGACAATAAAAGACACGATGTTACTGATAAACACTGTTACCAGTGAACTCTATAGTAATCGTTATTTGCGTTTGTATTTCAAGTCGAAAGGAACCTTGTAACTTAAACATAATCAGTTTCCAAACATCTTCGCGCAACCTTTTTCATGCGCAACATTCATTTCCGAAGCTCCGAAGCGGATTGTTGGAAACGACCGACGCTTCGCCAAATTTATTTATGACAAACCCCGGTAACGGAACGCAGACGTTGTTAGTGGCGGATTCAATCATCTTTCGTCGAATATTCCGCCGCTACTTTAGTCTATCCGGCTCCAAGGTACAGCGGAGTATCTTTAATTAACGGACGAGGATAGAAGATCCGGATAATAGTCCCCTGGAATGAAAGGGGTTTTCAAGTTAGACGATATTAATTCAAAGTGCAGCGGTACAATTTGTAATTATATTTCTTCGGACGGATAGCGGCGTAAGCAATCGAGAGAATCAAGCCCGTCGTAGCTCTTACACGCGTTCGCACGCGCAGCTGGCTTAGGCGCGAGCACTTTAAGCGCCGCGTACAATGGTCGGGTACAGGCTCCGCGAGTTTCGGAGTTCGCAAGCCGGTTAGGATGCGATCAAATATTTCGGAACCATGCATCAGCCGGATTAAAGTTTCATCCCGCGATAAAATATTTTCGTCGTTCGGTCGATCTCCGTTACTCCTGACCAGGAAACACTGAAATGGTTGAACCAACGCGACGCTGGCTCGGCATCGTTTTCTGGAACAATGGTGCCGATCGATACGCTGGAATTGAAATGATAATCAACCTCGCTGTCCGAGCACGTGCCTTATTTCCAGAGACAAAAGAACGGACTGATTCTGACGTGAGAAGAGATTTCGGAAAGCTCTGGAGCAACAGTGAGTACCTTTAATTATTCAGATGGTACAGTATGATGCATGGACGATATATGTAAAAGTAGATCAGGGTCTTCGAGATTTATATTATTTGTTGAATATTGAAGAGTGTTTAACTTCAATACTGCCGGATAATGTTTGTTCGATATGTTTTCTTTCGTACGTTTTGCGTAATACTGGTGCAATCGTACAGTTTTTCAATAATTTTATTTAGAATTCTTTGTTGCTTTCTCTTGTCTTCCTAACTGGTTTCAATGATTTCCAACTGAGCAGTTTGCAAGTTCGAAATTCGAAACATTCTTTCGAAACGTTGTCTAATTACAAATATATAGTCGAATATTTTTCTATCGAACAGCTCGCAGTACTTCGGCCAGTGAATAATTCGTCGACAATCGATCTCCCGTCGCGTTTCGCCCCTCTTACGAAGTTCCCGGGACAACTAATTGTAAGACATCCTCCGAGGGGAAGTTCTTTAATCAAGAAAAATTCGAAAAAAGTGGAAGAAGAAGCTGTGAGTCAGCGGTTGCGAGCAGTGTCGCGTAAAACGAAGAAACCGTCACTGGTTACACACCACTTATTAACTGCTTAAGATCCAGACCGTTTTACAAAAATCTGTATCCGAACTTTAATCTACTACAGCGTGGGCATAACAAACAGCAGTATGACCTGTTCGCACATTTGTATGTGAACTCTTCCATGTAATTAAAGTTACCCTTCAATTATTGCACATTTAGTTAAGTTACCTTTTAATTTAATTGAATCAAACAAATTCTTCAATTTATTGCATATACCGTACACTTAATACAAAGATAAAGCGTTGCCAATAACGAAATAATCTCTCACTTCAACGTACACGCAACAAGATAAAATTGATCTGTACTGAACCGTGTAAATCCTTACATCTCTCAAACGCCATTGTATACCAAGCAGCTAATTCATCCAGTCGACACGGGTACACTTGATCTCCCGTTGACTCCGCCGACAAGACAAACCACCGTTAACACCCGATAAATGAAGTCCGACACAAAAACTGAAACCGTGAATACACAAGCACAGTCTTTGAGCGGTTAAAAAGCTTCTCCGTTGAAGAACACTTCGTCAGCGAGTATTAACGCGGACTGCTTGTCGAGGGGGCTATCGATTAGCGGGCAGCCATCGCTTTCAAAGACAATATTTATAATGGCGGTAATGAACACCGGGAGGGGAAAAAGGGAAGCGAGAAAAACCAGCGAACACTACAGAGTATCGGTGTGCCTTTCGAGAGAAAGGGAAATCGCGGAGGGTCGAGGCCAGCGAGATTTATTCGAGGCGGCGACCGGAGGTCTTCGCCGTCGAACTCCGTGTGTACTTTCCGCTGTAAGATATTGCGGTCGTTTCCCTTTGGTCAGAGGGAAGCCGGCCAGAAGTCGGCCGGCAGTTTTTCCGGGCGCCCCTCTAACGGCCATCGGGCTCGTTCCTCCGTTTCCCTCTCGCCCCTATCAATTCATTGGATTTTTAGCGGCGACTGGTTATAACCGGTGCTTTCGCGTGAAATGTGCCCCCACCGAGTTAAAAATTGGCTTCTAATATGATATACGTAGGTCACCATATGGCCCGGAGAGCGCCGCAAAGCGGACGATATTTTCAGTTTCTTCGCTTGTTCCACCCTCTCCGCCCCGGACCGACGTATCCGACCTCTTACGCGGTTCCACGTTCGAACGGCCTCTCGCATATTCCTTCGCCATTCGGTCTCGCATAACGTACTATCGGAAAGCGATAGTATTTTCGCACTGGCGGTTCTCTTATTGCGCCGCCATATTTCAACCCTGGTCCCCTATCCCGGCAACGTTGGCCAGCAGGGAGCAGGAGCGAGCGAGCGAGTCGGGACGACTGAGAGAATACGGATGCATTTAATATGCAATCGTCCCGGGAAGCTGTCGAAGAACTGGCGAAAACACGTGCGACGGCCGCTTCCAGGCTGCGACATTTGGCCCGCTCTCGGACAGGAACGGCAATAAACTTACAAAGATCGTTTTTACGCTTTTGATCGCGGACGTGCTTAAGCTTCTCCCGGTCCCGCGTGTACATGTGCGGCTCGGGCCGCGCGCGACGCCGGAAGCTGCGAAATCTTCACGTTGAAATTTTGATTTACGCTTTCTTCGTGGAACCCGGCGCTCTCCACCCCGTAGATCTCGCCGGGAATTGGGATTAAATCTTTTTCCACCGGGGAAATCGTTAACGACGCCGGGACCCCGTAGTTAGCGGACCCCGTTGATTTACTGTTCGCCCCTCGGATCGTCGCTGATTTCGGGGGATTTGACTGTTGTGGAGAACTTGGTTTCTTGGGGAATGTGTTTCTCGCGGGGAAGGTTCTCTTGAGTATGGTCTTGCATGGGAATGTGGGAACGATCATCTGGAGTTGTGTTGTGTTGAGAGATATGTGAATATTTGGAATCGTTTTTTGAGTAATCTTTGTGTGAGTTTCTTCGTGATTGTGTTTGTTCGATTTGTTTTATTGTTAATTATGTGAAGAATGCGAAGAAAGTTTTTGTTTATCGTAAGTACACCTTTATTGGAATGGTAAAATATTGATTGTAGGAAAACAATGGTCAATTTAGATTTATTTGTAGCAAGTGAGATTGATTTTTATTACGTTGAATTAAAGGTCGTGGGTCTCAGATGTTGTTATAGAGTAGGAGATTAATTAGTTTCTTTCGAAGCAGGGGTAATTTCTCTTGAATTGGAGGAAATGGGAAATACATGGATTTCTTAGTCCTTTAGAATCCTTGGAATTTCGAGATGAAATTGTATTATTTTGAAATTTGTATATAAAATTCGTAGTTGAGAGAAAAGGGAAGTACGCGAATTTTCGAGATAATTGGAATGAACAGCTCGGTGACAGTTATTCGGTCAACTATGACAGAGCAGGTTGTTGCCATCAAAGTATAGCGTTTCATTAAGTGGCATCTGCTTGTGGATGTTGACAAGCGGGGAAAACGCGTTCACATTTAGCGTATAGTAGCTAACAATTTGGATTAAACGAGCCCGCTTAACTGGGACTAATTGCACAACTCGAGACAAGCCATTAAATCCTATTTGAGTGATCGAGATTACCAATCAGTAACAAGTAACTTAGTAAGTGGATCTAGATGCGGTTTCTGCCAAACTAACAGAACCATTTTCTTAGCAACTAATTTTGGCGAAATTCCGCCCTAAGTCAGAATAATCCCATTCCCTTCTTTCGCTCTCGAGGGATTGTTCATTCTCTGTTAGCTTATAATACATTAAATATTAACTCTCAATTTTCTTTTGATCTTTTTTTCAGCCAATAGCGTTCAGAAATTTCTTTAATCGTTAAGAAGAAATTCTAAAAAGAATACACTTCGAATATTGGAAATTGCACATATGAAACAAAATATTAATAAAACAATATTGTATGAAATTTCGATTCTTCTGAGTTAAATGAAACTCTTAATAAAGGAAATAAGGCAGACAGGAAATTGTATCAGTTTTGAGTACCTCGGTATGATCAATATTCTGATTGGCCTCGAGAACATCAGAAATGGAAATACCGTGGATTTCAGACAGATTAATTAAGATATAAGAAGACGGAGTGCTTGCCGCTAACAGTAAACCCCTCGATAAGAAAAATAGGGTGGGTGTCTCGGAGGGAGATAATCCCGTGACGAAAACGAACGGAGAACGAACATGGACCCCGTGTGGATATAATTTATTTATGATAGCCAACAAGGGCGATAAAACCTTGGCAAAGGGCGTAACGAAACCACGTAAATACTACTCTTTATTGAGACGGATACCCCAGTAACATTTACATAATTCAGCAATGTCGGTCGAAAGCAAACGTCACCACAGATCCCCAAACAAATAATTCCGTATAAATTACAGGCGAAATATCCCACGTAACAATCAACTGAAAACCTCCATTGTTACAGTGTTGCCTAAATTCCAAATGAATTTTTACAAGTCTCTACTCACTATAAACTATAATTCATCGTATGATAGCCTACTTAAAAAAAACTCTCGAAAATCCTTTAAAAATTCATTCAAAAGATCCCATTAACATTTTCAACTTAATTTTTATTCTTCGCATAATCTACACGATTCTTCAACAAACACAAGAATCCCTCGAATTCTCAGCGAAAAACGAAGAAAAACTTATCGATCCGATCTAACTCGGCATGAACGAAGCGACGAGGCGCCGACTTCACGAAGCCAAAGCCCAAAAAGCGTAAATACACCTCAAATGCACGACGACCCGGCTTATTCCGGTAGTACCATTTCGAACGCGGGATCAGTTGAGCCAAAGACAACTCATCGACGGGGAGAGCGGGATCGAGAGATGGCGAAAAGAGATGGAAAAAGGAATGAAGAATGGCGGCAGCTCACTATACAACTTCCTTCCTGAACAGAGAGTCTAATCAGTGCGATTCAATTCCAGACGATGAGTGACGTCGAGGAGAAGAGCGAACAAAACTAGACTAGCTCGTTTGCCGGTCTCTTCCATTTCGTCGACAGAGGATCAGCGCCGGATAATAGGATTTTTTGACGTACGAGAGGCGAACCCGGCCGTTCTAACGGGTGGCTCTTGGATGAAAAAATCATGCTCATTGCTGACGTAGGCGATATCCACGCGCGCATCGCTGCCTACGAAAATAATGCGACGTGGTACCGGGTACCGTCAGCTGCGTTTCATATTTCACCGAGTAGCTATCTGTCTATTTCGCTGTATCTCGATCCCCCTTCCAGCTCCAACCCAGCCACCCCTTTGTCTATTCCTTCGATTCCTTCCTTTCCTCGGCCATTTCGCTCTGTTGTCGCGCATCGGAATTTTGATTTCGCCATATTTCCGGATTACGACCGCCAGTTCGGGGATCATGCCAAGCTGAGTCATACGATCGGAATAACTGAGTCGCCCTTTCACCCGATAACTTTCGCGGAGGAAACAAAGAACAAGTGGAAACAATTAACAACACTCATTTACTACGCCTTCAGTGATGTTAAAATTGATGTTTGGAATCAATCTTTTTTGTGTTAAAGAACGTTGGAATTTTGGTTTTTGAGATATTCATCGAAAACTGCTGGAGTTATTAATTACTCCCTCATTGATTTTGGTTTAACTCCTTGCTATACAATGACGAATGAGACTCGCGATCAAGATTTCTAGATTAATTTAACAAAACTCAATGTTGTTCATTCTCCGCGGACCAAAGCAAACAACCATTTTGCTGTTATCAATGTATTATCTGCAAATAAAATTTCCACTTGAAGTAGAATAGAAAATTTTGTTACATTTCTTCCAAATTGTTGATAGTAAAATGCTACACCAGCGCAGCAGCGAAAGTAAATAATACGGCAAGGGGTTAACGCATTCGCGACTGTATATAAATTTATGGATGTTATAGGTGAGTACCTCAAGGTTCTGCTGTTGTATGTGAATGTGCATGGATCTAAAGAAAGTATGGTAGAAGTATGTTGTTAATTATTAGTTACAGAGTTTGGAATAAGGTAAGAATATAGCAGTGTTTTTTTAGAAGAAACATGAAAGGTAATATAAATGAAATGAAGAGGAGCATGTGGAAAATATAAATACGTTTAAAGAAAAACTGATTTTTAGAGGATCTGAGTAGTGTTGAATCGATTTTTCGAAATACTGGATCGTCGGATCTACATTGTAAAATCTAACCTTCATCTTGTTTTAACGGTATTGGCTGCGCTGCTTGTTTTATGCAACAATTCGCTACTTTCAGACACCTTCCACGTCGTATGATTATGACATCCCTCGTCTACTCAGTTTGACTTGGTAAAATTGCCCTTAGCGGAGTCGCATTTTTTATCCTTCGTTTGCATTCGAGGTTATGCCCGAGGCTAGCAACGAAATTTGAATTTTCTCGTATTCCGTGGGGCTGACCGTCTATATTGAGCTCACAAGAATATACAATGATGCATATTGTCACTTGTTCCTTAAAAAGTCAGTAAGAATTGTGCATGTATTTCGATTGCACGTTGGGCACCGAGTATTCCATCCATTCGCGTAAGTTTCACGATCGGACGTCGACGTCTTAATCCGATAAAAGACAATTAACCGACGGTTGCCTTTCTGTAATCGTCAGTTCCACGAATACATACTCTAATCGGACAAAT